CCTTAGGCACAGGAGGGGTATTGAGAGATTAAGGACATCAACATCTTAGCCTTATACTCTGGTCCAATGGGAATAGGAGACTCAGTCAAGGCTGAACTATTGGCAGCTCTACAAGGTATTCAGATAGCAAATCAAATAAGAGTGGAGCTTCTCCTAATTGAAGGAGATTCTAAGGTGGTTGTGGGCTGGTTAACGAACCCAAGCTCAGTAATTTGGTGCTACAAGGATTTCCTAAAGGAAAGTTGGTTAACAAGCAACATGCATGTTAGTTCACGTTGGGTAAGAAGGTCAGAAAATGCTATGGCTGTTAGTCTCGCTAAACAAGGGGTCTTGAGGGAACATCTGTACTGGGCAACCTTGTAATGATTTGATTATAGTGTATTGTGGTTTTTTACACTTTCTTTTACTTTCAAGAGAGGTCACACCTTGTTTCTCTCTTTGGGGTGTTGTAACTTTGATTGCATATTGATAATGCAGTAACTTTTCTCAGTAGATGAGTTACAGATTTTTCAGTAGATGAGTTGCTAAGAAAGTGGAAGGAAATTGCAGAATCAGTCTCAGCTAAGAAGGTCTCAAGTTCTTGTTGGAACCCTCCACCTCACAAGTTTACTAAACTGAATTTTGATGGCAGCAGTATGGGCAACCCAGGGCCCTCCGGAATAGGGGGAGTTATAAGAGATGCAAAAGGGAATCTGTTAGCCATGTTTTCTGGTCCAATTGGGGTGGGAGACTCCTTGAGGGCTGAGATGCTAGCAGCTCTAGAAGGGGTACAAAGGGCTAAAGACATGAACATCAACAAATTGATCGTAGAAGGATATTCTGAAATTGTGGTGAACTGACTAAAAGAGGACAACCTTAGGCTTTGGAATTACAACAATGAAAAGAGGAAATTTAAGTGGCTAACTAAGAACCTTGAAGTTCAATGTACTTGTAAAGAGAAGTGCAAATTCATTGGCAGATGGTCTAGCTAAGCAAGGGGTGAACAGAAACTCTATTTTTTGGGCTCAGTTGTAATTGCTCTTATATTTTGGGTGTATCTTGGCTGTATCTGAGAGTTAAGAGTTTTTAGCTCCCTTGCTCTGTAATTTTCTCAATTAATTCATAAAATGCTCTGTTATTGATAAAAAAGTAACTTTTCAATTATCAAAAAAAAAAACATTAAAGAGTAGAAAAGTAATAAAAGGAAAAGGAGGGGCTTAGAAAGGGAAGTCCCAAAAAATAGAAAAGAAAAAGAAAGAAATATCAAAGGGTGAAATCTCGACAAGTCAAAAGATAAAAGACCCCTATGCCAAAGAAGAACCCCAATACAAAGAACCTATCCTCAAACCCACTCTACCAAGATGTTGATGTCCTTATCTCTCAATACCCCTGGACAAGTAGGAAATAACTTTAGGGAGGCTATGAGGCAGACGAGGCTTTCAACTGTTGCAGTCAAGATTTGTCGGTTACTGAAGTGATAGTTCTACCTTCGTTGTTTTATTCTGTGAAATTCTCTCCAAATGGATAATAAGTTGTTCAAATTTTCATGTGTACCATTGCTAGTTCTTTCATTTGCATGCAATCTTTGAAATGGCTGTAGGTGCAGCCAATAAACATGTGAAGAACGGGAAAAAATGGCTGTTAGGGATGTGCAAGTGAGTTCAAACGAGAGTGTGTTGGGGAGACTAAGATTGCTCAATGAGTTTGGTGGGTCGATTTGTTAACTCGGACCCAGACGAGGAACCTGTGAAGGAATGAGCAATTGCTGCTTGGAGGCCAAAGAGTTTCTTTTAAGTGAGGAAACTGAACGCGGGTTTCTTCTTGTTCATCTTCAAAGATGAGGAAGCAGATGACATATTAAACTGAGAACATAAACAACTTTCATCTCCTGACCTGAGGATTGGAAGATGGAATCCACCGGTAGGCACTCTCAGAGATTTAGGACCAACAAGCTTGGTTTGGATTAACATCTTCGGTATTCCTCTTCATGTATGGTGTTTTCAAACTTTTGAAGCAGTGGGAGAAGCCTGTGGAGGACTCAGATTCGTTGATCCAAAGACAATTCCTGAAGGAATCTTGTCTGTGCTCGTATCTTGGTTGAAGTGGATGAGATCCATTTAGTGCCTTCTTCTTTGCTCTGCGGTCTGTGGGAGAGATTTATGATCTGAGGCTTGTGGTTGAAGGTTCTTATCCAAGGAGATGGATGGAGAACATTGGTTCATGGGGGAAGATGAACGATGAAAACCTGCAGTCACTTGGTGTTGCAGATTGGAAGCCCAACAGTCAGACCGACTTGGAGGTAGCGATGGTTGAAGACAAGGGAAGTTTGGGAATTTCAGGAATTGTTTCCCCCAAGGAGGCCAGTGATATGGGTCTCAACAAGTGTGGTGGTAGTTGGGAATCGAAGAGGTTTGGGGGTCCCAACCATGTGATGTTCTGTTTCTTGCCTTGGGAACACTCTCCTTGGAAAGCTTCAGGGATGAGGTGCAATTGGGTCAGGTGGGGCACATGGATGGTTAAAAGGGTAAAGAGGTGGGTCTGGGAAGAGAAGGTGGATTGTGGCTTGAGTGGGTTTCAGCATTTTATGCATCGAATAACTAGGAAGGGAGGCTGAAACCAGTTGTCTAAGACTCTAAGTTACCAGTCAATAAAAGAAGAATTGTTTTTAAAAAGAAGAGAGCGTTGAAAATTAAACAAAAAAAGGAGTGGGTCAAGGAGAGCTCGAGAGACAACGAAGAGGGCACGTAGACCCCTGAAGACGATGGGGAGAAGCTCATCAGTTCCAGTGATGATCATCATAATGGTAAGTCTGGTTTGTCTTCAAGGATGCAGGATCAGGGCGACAATACTTGGCCATCTCAAGATTCCAACCTTTCCTTGGTGGAACCACGTACAAGAGTTTCAGAAGAGGATGTAGAAGGGGTGGAGGTGGGGGGGGGGGTATAAGAGAAACATCTGATCAATTTTATGAAGAAAAAAGTTTCTGTTGCTATCCAAGAGGATGGCCCTATCGGAGATGTAGATGACAAGTCCATCTGTGAAGACAAGTTTTCAACTGAGATTCTTGCTTGTTTTGGGGAGACTGTAGTGGGTAAGCTGGGCGTCGATCTGGGTCGTAGAAGGAAGAGATAGAAAAGATGTGAAGCTAATGAGGTTGGATTGGGTCCTAAGAAGTCTCAGACTTCTAGCAAGATGCACACTATCCATGTAACTAAAGTTTTCTCTAGGTTGAAGCTTGGATTAGTTGGATCTGGTCCCACACAAAAATTCAAGAAGGTCTACAAGAGAAAGGGTGGCAAGACGAAGGCGTCAGAGTCAGGTGATACTGGTGTGGGAGAACATTATCGTGGGGAGAGTTTGAAGAAAATTATCGTGGGGGAAGAAGAAGAGGTTTGGAAAGAAGCGGATGATGGGAGATCAGATGTGCACGAGGAGGAGGATTAATGGAGGCTGTCACCTGTCTTTTCTCCCATTTTTGTTGTTTTGTCTTTGTTGTGGGGCTAGGTTGATGGGGGTGGAAGATGTTTGGTTATGAGGGAAGTTGTTTTTTGTGTTTTTATTTTAGGTTGTTCTGTTTTGAGTTTTGTGTAGGGTAGTTGCCTAGTGTCTTGTTGGTGACTGCTTGCCACCTCTCTTATGTATGTTTTTTCCTTTTTAATAAATTTTCTTTTATTTCTTTAATCATAAAAAAAGAAATGTTGTAGAAGGTGGGGAAGGTGGTCAAAATTGCTTTCCAAGGGCTCTTCAAAGTAATACTTCTAGCAAGGCATGTATCCCACCCATTTGGGTGTATCCCGTGTATGCTCTTAATTACTGAATTCCACGGTGTCTCCTCTTTGGGGAACCTCCACAACCATTTTACCCAATAAAGCCAAAATTTTTTCCTTTGCCCTCCCAATTCCTAAATCACTCTCCTCTTTAGCTTTAAACATCCCCCCCCATGAGATGGTCCTTTTTATCATTATCTAGGTCCTAGAAAAAGCCACTAATTATCTTTTCTATTCTTTGCACAATTTCACTGGGGCTTTAAACATTGATGAGTAATAGATTGGGATGTTGGACATGGTGGATTTAATTAAAGTCAGTCTTCCACCTTAGGAAAGGTAGTTCTTTTTCCAATTGTCCATCTTTTCAGTAAATCTTTCAACCACCACCTCCCAAGAAGATACATATTGAGGGTTGTCTGCCCCCAGGAGGTAGCCCTAAGTATTTGATCAGCAACCATCTAATTCCACACCCTAAGGTTGCTGCACATTCCTCCAACTCTCTGTCCTTGATCTGAATACCCACCAAGCTACATTTCGCCAGATTGATTCTCAAATCTGTGATTCTTTCCACAATCTCTAATATCCTCATTAGATTTCTCACATCTTGAATCGCCCTAAGTTCCCCAAAAATTTGTATCATCAGCAAATTGTAAATGTGTAATTACTTCCCACAATCAAGTGAGGCCAAGAATTTTGTAACGTGGCTCCTTCAAAAGAAGGCCCACTGGATATCATATCATGATGCCAAGAATTTCACTAGCAAAAGGAATGAAATATAATTTTCCATATCCCGATCAAATGATGTGACCAAAAGAAAGTCCAAATAAGCATATCTAAACTGCCAACTTGGCATCATAGGTTGACAAAATAAGAGATATCAAGAAATAACATGGAAAGGAGATTAAGGTGCCAGATATTTGAGCTGATGAAAGGAAGTGGATATAGTTCCCACTGACCTGGGAGGCTGGGACCTAATACTGCCTTCTCTGTCCATTACCCCTCTCCCAAGTTTGCCCAGAAAAAAAGAAAGAAAGAATAAGGAGTCTGATGCAAACATAATCCAACCCATTACCCCTCTCCCAAGTTTGCCCAGAAAAAAAAAAAAAAGAAAGAATAAGGAGTCTGATACAAACATAATCCAAAACTTCGCAGGTTGAGGAAAATTTTTCCTATAACAAACTAATTTCTCAAGTGCCAATAATATAGAAACTAAAAGAAAGTTAAAATGTTGCATTAAAATTGCAAGCATGGTACCTCCAAATGCAGCACTGGCAGCTGAAAATACAAGTAGAGGAGGAAGCTGTTGCAAAGAAGAGTAGAAGACACCATTAAGTTTGTTTACATGTAGTCAATACCACATAAATAATAACAAGAGCACATTCTTAAGAGAATATATAAAGTTATAGTATTAAAATAGAAACCATGGATGAAAGAAAATACCCCAATAAGAAAAGGAAGCCACTTAGGCCCCTTCACATATTTCTGGACATATGGGATTCCTGAAATGAAAAGAACGTAATTAAACACTCTGAGAATTTATAAAGGTTTACAAAAAGAGAAAATTATTTCTACCTGTATTGAAACCATGAACTGCGCTAAGCATGGCACCGGCACCAGAACCAGCCTATTTGATAGATAGAACAACAGATAAATAAAATAGAAAAAAAATGAAGCATAAAGCATCTCGTTCTAAGTACTTGTATGTGCACATTTCTAGATAATAATAAAAATAACTCAACAGCAGATCAACCAGATAACCCTAAAAATCCACCCAACTCCTTACTTGGACTGTTCAAGCAACTCAGAATTTGTGATATTTTCCCGTCAATTGGACATTCTTGGTTGACAGGAACATGAACCGAAAAACAGTCAACCAAATTTCTACAAACTGCTATTCCATATTTTCCATTCACAACAAATGTATAATTCTCTTAACCACTGATCAGAAACACTGTCATAGCAACTATATAGTAGTAAATGATATAAACCAAAATCCCCCTCTATCAAATCTTCAGTCTATCCAGTTCCACCTAGTTGCCTGCAAACCTCTTAAACTCATCTAATCATATAAACCATCAATTTCCCTATGCCGAATATGATTGCTAATTAACAGAACAAAAAACTAGAACATACCACCGCAGTTGCATCGTGTAAGACAGCAGTTATAGTCCACTCTCCGTTTTCCTGGTTCAATACGAATAAAGAATACAGATAAATTCTCTATACAGTAATTTCATCGAACAATTGAGCTGCAGCATGGTTTGGGCTTTACCGAATTAGGATTTAAGAGAGAGAGGCAACGAGGGCAGCGCGGGGAGCCGAGGCCGGGGTTTATGGTAGGGTCGTGGTACAGGTTACCAGACCTAAGTTTCTCTTCGTACACCTCTCGTGTTCCCATCACATCAAAATTCTACGAAAAACCTAAAATTAGACCAGGGAACCATATATCTGATATCTTTGAGGGTTGTTCAATCGTTTCTCGTTTACCGTTTAAAGGTATATGTACAGATGGACCGGAGTTACCGGACACAACCTGTGGAAAATTTGGCCGTCCCTTTGTCATTTATTAGATATTTAAGATACCGTTGAGTAGGGATGTTCAGGGTCGGTTTATTGGTGTTTTTCCAACCGACCTGGCGAGGTTTACCTTGAAATGAAATCGAAACCGACCCTATATTAAATAAAATCAACCTATTCAGTTTGAATCGGTTTTGGTCAGTTTTGTGTTTTGTGAATGATTCTATTGAAATCATTTTAATTTGGATAAATTTCTTAAATTATCCTTATATTTTAATTAATTGACTAAATCTACCCTTATTATTTGAAAATTGACTAAGGCTATTCTTATTGTTTTTGACAATTGACTAATTTTATTATCGTTAAAGTTCATTAATATTCCATCAAAACTCATTCTGACGTGATATATATTCTTTTAAAACCCAATTGATTCTCAAAGGAGACGATGACTTTGTTGTGCAGGTAGTGAGAGATGGTTTCTGCACTCAAATTTGTTAGTTGTCGAGCATAGAGAGTGAGAGGAGTACAATGGAGGGGTTGATCTAGCGGTGAATTTTACTTGACGTAGAGCATTGGGTGAATAGGGGTTGTCGGGTAAACACCTTCGACAACCGACTGGGCCGTCATATCCAAGGGGTTAAACAACCCAATGCATTGAACACCGCGACCCCTTTTGAGGAACCCAACCTTCCCCGTCTTTGAGATGCCGTTGCAGGGTTCTTAACATCAGAACTCTATTTCTAAACCCCTCACCAGAAATTCAAATCCCATCCCATTTGGAAAACCAAATGCAAAACATTTCCATCGGCAACTCCATAATCCCGGACAAGACAATCATTCCACGCCAACTCCCTACCCCAAAAACTAGCGTCTACTCACAACAAAGCCTTTGGAGGTTTGTATCCTTAGCTTCATTAAGGCAATCGAGTCAGGCTCCAATACATGCATGGGAATCACAGAACTGGCAACTGTTAGGTAAATTAGTATCGACTCATCGGAGCAAGGACCTAGCCGACCATGGAAATACCTAGGGAAAAGTACACTCTTTATGAATCAGACTAAGAGCGACACCGGCGGTAGACATTTTTTATACAAATTTTTATGCCCTAATTTATGGTAAAATAGTTTAAATATTAGAATCCATCAACAATTTCTCACGATCCTTGCTGAAAAGGGCATCAGATGGAAAATGATTGATTTCCTTGAGGATGAAAAACCCTAAATCTAACAAATAATGCAGGAAAAAAGCATGTACAAAAGGGTAAAAAAAGCACCGAAAGGATTTAAGGAAAGGTAGATGCTATTTTTGCCGGTGGTCTCTAAGTACCTATTGGATTTAGGGAAAGGCAGGACTTCCCACGGTTCCATCTCCGAATGGTTGACCGCCATGATGAACAAGAAACAGAAAAGGGGGAGGGAGGAGAGTACAAGTTGAGAGAGAGGTCTTCTCATAACACTGTATTCTACCGTAACTGTTCCATCTCCAAATCACTTCCACTCTTGTCACTTTGTTACTGCTCAAAGGTAAGCTATTTTCTTCTCTTGACAGTAGGTGTTATTGGGTGAAATGGGAAACATGCTCTTCTCTGATTATAGAGTCTAGGATTCTTGTCATTTGGAACCAAATATGTTCCTATAAATGTGGTTCGGGTTTTGATGAATTAGCCTTTTTTCTCTTTTTTTTTTTGTTTTATTTTAAAATTTTGAAGAAGAATAAAGGATAAAACAGTCTTTTTTGTGTCTGCCTTCCATTTAAATGCAGCAGAATCAAATTGTTATAATGTTTCTGTTCATTCTGACTTTTGGACCAGTTATAGGTGGCTAAGTTGTAGGGGATCCAGATACATATTTAAGGGAATTGGCATCAATGGATGTAGAGCTCGGAATTGAGGCTGGAAAACCCAGTGCAAAGCTGCTGGGTTTCTCTTTTTATTTTTTGTGATGTAGAGCTTGATTTATTCATTCCTTTTGGGTTCTCTCATCCTGTTCGGAGAAGCCATTAATTTGTAGAGACAATAAGGATACTAAAGTGTATCCTTTGATTATTTTAATGTCATTTTAACAAATAAATTGGTTTAAAAATAAACAGAAAATATATTGCTTTCTCATTATTGCTAGTAAACTTCTCCTTCCATGGTAGATGCATTTATTTTCAACAATATCAGGATTGATTCCAATTTGCACTGACACCCAAATTGCACTTGCAAATGCATATTTGAAGAATACCTTCTCTGCTGATCGCATAAAACATATATTTGATGATCTTCTTATGAGAATTTGAGTCTATTTTTTTTTTGTTAATACTCTTTCCCAAAAGGCCTTCCATAGTTATTTAACTGAAATCACGAAGTGGCTCAATTAGTAAGTTTTTTGACTGGTTGTGGGGAGGTTATGGGCATGGGGATGGGCTAGAATTTGGATTAGCTGAACACACTTTAGCAGGCTGTGGAAAGACTCCAAAATAGTGACAAAATACATGAGACGGAGAATGAACAGACTGAATAGAGTTCTTTCCCCACTTCAATGGGTTTTCCGGCCTGAGGCATTTCTTGCTAGACCCATGACCCATTTCTATCCAAACCCATTACCCATATTTTCCAGGTTTGGACCTTCTAAAAACTCCAAATTAATATTAAAATGGATTTCAAGTATGATTTGGTCAAGACAATTCCGAATTCAATTCAAGTAAATAACAGATTCTTCATGTAAAAATAAGTGTTAAGTGAGGTTTAAAAACAGTCATAAATTGAACAATATTTCAGCCATCCGATGATAAAATTTAAATGAGACATTAATAACAAAAGTTGTTTATTAATCACTAATCCAAAATTGCTTGAAGCCATTCAAAAACTAGGTGGCCTAATGGACTTTGGAACTTCATGTTTGAAGATGAAATGCTGCTATGCTAATGATTCAACTGCCAAGAAACAAACAAGAAAAGTTTATTTTAGATTGTCACATTACTTGGAAAATGAAATTTTAAATTGTAGAAAAAATAATTACACTTGAAAAGATTATTAAGTCTTACCAAAACATCAATCATCATCACTTAATTACACTTGTTCTGTTGTTCCTCGGAATTCTAAAACAAATAAACAAATATTAGTATGTAACCCAAAAAATTATATAAGTTATAAATAATATTATGAAATAAAGTTTATTCGTAAAATAACAAATATTACCTAATACAATTTCTTCATATTTTTTCACTTCATCCATAGCTTCTCAAACATCAATTGGGATTGGTTGGGACCGTAACCAATCTTGACTACATATAAGAGCCTCCACAATTTTTGGAGATAGTGAACTCTTAAATGGATCAAGTAAATTCCCACTCGTGCTGAATGTTGATTCAGAAGCAACTGTAGAAATTGGAATGACTAAGACATCTCTTGTTATTTGAGAAAAATTATGATACTTTTGAGATTTCATTTTTCACTAAATCAAAATGTCAAATGAATCATTTGGCTTTTCACAACTCTCTAACAAATACATTGCAACCTCAGATTTACTTTCTACACTTTATTCACTTTTTAAGTGCTTTGCAAATTGAGATGCTAAGAATCTCCATGTATCCTCTTCATTATCATCAAAATCCATCTCCTTAGAAGCTTTACTTGAACTTGATGTTTCATGTTCAACATTAAAATTTGAATTGCATTCATGATCATGATAATGGTAATATAAATGATTAAGAGTTGCCTCTACTCTCTCGGTCATCTCTCTAACCCTCAAACTATCATATATTTGACTAAAATAAAATTTCACATATTTTAATTTTTAACAATGATACAAAACAAAGGCAATATATAACAAGAAATTCAAATTTTTAAGGTTCACCCAATATTTATCAAACTTCTGTTTCATGTGCTCTGCCATAGAATTCAAGAGACTATCTACACTTCTAGACAAACAAATCAAACTAGTTTGCAATGCCACGAGTTCAAGAAAAAATGCATTCGAAGTAACATACAGAAACCCCGAAAACCATAATGTTACATTATAGAAAAGCTTTAGGAACTTCACAAAACATCTGACATTGTCCCAATCATCATAATTAGGAGGCCCAACATGCTTATTCTCTCTCCCTTTTCCTCTCCTATTCCCACCTCCACTCTCCTCATTTTCATCATCATCACCGCTTTCAAAGTATAAGAGATATCTTGGGTCATTCTCACCTAATCGGTCAAAAGCTCTTTCAAAATTTACAACAACTTCCAACATCAAATAGATAGAATTCCACCTAGTCTCAACATTAAGGCATACATGATTCTTATTTTCTATTTTCTCCTTCTCAACACACATTTTGAAAGTTTGAAACCTACATGGAGATGATCTCACATATCTTACTGCATTTTGGATTTTGAGAATAGACTCATGTAAGTATTCCAATCATTTTTTTACTATCAAATTCACAATATGAGTAGAACATTTTAAATGCATGAATTCATGTTCTAAGATGGTGCATTTCCAATCCCCTAGTTCTTCTTTTTAAATATCTAATTGCACCATCATTAGAACTTGCATTATCAACAGTAATTGTAAAAATTACATCAATGCCCCATTCTAGCAATCAATCATCAATAGTCTTATCAATTGTTTATCCCTTGTGATTAGGAACTTGACAAAAGTTTAAAATTTTTTTATTCAAGTTCCATTCACTATAAATCCAATATGTAGTCAAGCGCATATAATTTAAATTTTGGATTGATGACCAAGAATTAGTGGTAAGACATATATGTTGATTTTTCATCACTTTTTGTAGTTTCATATTCTCCTCAAGATAAAATTTTTCATGTAATCTCTAGAAACTGTGATACAGGATGGGACTATAAACTTATGTTGCAAAGCTCGAGAGTAGTTCTTAAATCCTTCTCCCTCCACAATTCTAAAAGGCAATTCATCAATTATAACCATTTTAGCAAGCCCCTTTCTAGCTTCCTCAACACTAAAGGTCACTGCTTTTAGCTTACCAGTAGTGAGACCATCTTCTCATCCTTCACTTTTAGGCTTAAAAGACAATGCCTTCTGTCTTTTATCAACCTTATAGGGATATTTTATGCATTGTTGTTGCAAATGACTCCACATGTTACTAGTGCCATGATTTTTTGTGTCACATGCATAATCTTTGCCACAATAGTTACATGCAACCCTATATTCATTCTTATCCTCCATTTTAGTGAAATGATCCCAAATTTCTGATTTTAATTTAGAACATTGCCTTTTGTTTTGCTTAGTGGGATGTGTCCTAATAATTTTACAAGGAGAAGGGGGATTTTTTACCGGATTTGTAGCATCAAAATCTTGTTGCTTTGAGCCCATTGTTAGGGTTGTTCACGGGTCGGGTTGGGTCGGCTTACTGCGGTTTTTCCAACCGACCCGACCTGGTCGGGTTACCTAACATAGAAACCGAAACTGACCCAATGCTAAGCAAAACCGACCTGGTCGGTTTAAGTTAGTTTGGGTCGGTTTCGATTCTAAGTTCATCCTTGTGATAAAATCTTGCTAATTTTAAAAACAGTCATAAATTGAACATCATTTCAGCCATCTCCTATGATAAAAGTTAAATGAAAAGTTAATCACAAAAGTTGTTCATTAATCACTATTCACTAATCCAAAATTTCTTGCAACCATTCAAAAACTAGGTGGCCTAATGGGCTTTGGAACTTTATATTTGAACTAGGAACTAAGTCGGTTCGGTTCGGGTCGGTTTAAGAATTTGCACAACCCGAAACCGACCCGTGCTGATGAAAACCTGGCCGACTCGGGTTGGGTCGGTTCAGATTGGTCGTTTTGGTCGGGTTGGGCCTTCTTATGAATAACCCTACCCATTGCTACGGGATCTTCAACTTCATCAACTCCATGCACATTTTCACTTCTTTTAGGATCCATTTGAAAACAAAATACCATTATAAGTTGAACAATGCAATGGTTTTTTCGTGTTGTCAAAGAGTTGAACAATGAAAATAGATGGCGAATGCCTGATCGAATTGATCGGGTCATGTAGGAACAAGGTTCAAGTCTATATCGGTYGATTCCATGATTATAAGTTCATTCCATACCGGACCAGACCGGAATAGGGTTATGTACATTCTCATTATGAGAAGGGGTCATTCKAGCGTATGTAAATAGATACTATGTTTACATATGGATCCCTACGTCGTTACATTCCGTTTAGGATTAGGAATAGGCGTAATCAGACTTGCTTTTTACATATCACTCGTTATTTGGGTACCATATTCACTTCTTTGGGCTTCTATTGAATCGAGTGCTTGGGAGTCCCTGATGATTAAATAAACCAAGATTTTACCATGACTGCAATTTTAGAGAGACGCGAAAGCGAAAGCCTATGGGGTCGCTTCTGTAATTGGATAATATAATGATTATTGAGTTTCTCAAGATGAACATCCCTAATGTAACAAATTAAGAAAAAGCAACTAATTGGTTTTAATAAAAAAACTATATATGTTATTTTTTTTATTTAACATTAATAAAACTGAAATATATAAAATAATAAAAATATGCTTTGGAATATATATTTTTTGAAATATATATTCTGATATTATATTATATATATTGATATTATATTATATATATATATATATGATATTATATTATATATATATATATTGAAATATCTGATATTATATATATATATATATTTTGGATATATATTTAAGGAAATATATATTTCAGCTTTATTTCGGAAATATACATATTATATATATAAAATTTTAGGATATATTTTTTGGAATATATTTAAAACTGAAATATATAAAAATGTGTTTCAGAATATATATATATATCTTAGATTCTGAAATTCAGAATGTATATTTTGGAAATAGATTTAAAACTGAAATATATAAAAATATAGTGTTTGTGCAATTATGAAATTACTATAAATACCTATTAGTATATTTCAAAAATATATATTCCAAAATATATCAGATATATATTTATGGAAATATCTCGGCTTTATTATATATATTTCAAACATATTACTATATTTCAGCTTTAATATTTATATATTGGAAATACACATATTATATACAATATTTCAGAGTATATTTTTTGGAAATATATATCTGATATATTTCAGAATATTTATTTTTTCAGATATATATTTACTATTTAAAACTTAAATATCTATATTTAACAGATATTTTTTAGAATATATTTTTTAGATATATATTTTTTCAGATATTTCGGTTTTTATGCAAAACTGAAATATCTATATTTAACAGTTTTAAATATAAAATATATATTTAAATAGATTAGGTTTTTCATACAAAGCTGAAGTTTTTTTTGCAAATATATCATAAATAACCAGATTTTTTTCAAAGCTTAAACTTATACAAAACACAAATAAAATATATCAACTTGTAACATGCATTCAATTTTAAAATATTAAATAAAAAAATACTTTCTTTGAATGACTGAATGTGATGCTTGTTGCTTGAGTCTTGAGAAGTTGAGAGTTGAGACTTGAGCTGGAGTTGAGAGAATGAAAAGATGGGAGAACCAAGTTGAGAGTTGAGTGATGTTGAAGACTTGAAGTTGAACAATGAACTTGAAATTTCAAAATTTTGATTCTTGAGAGTTGAGAGAATGAGAGTGCTTGAGTTGAGGGCAGACCAAGTTACCAAGAATAGAAGAGTCAAATTGTATTAGAGAAAGAAGACTGAATTTTGGAAATTGGAAAGACTTATAATCTAAGAAAAAAACGACACCTATTTGTCATTTCCTTTTTGGTGTAAAGGACCTTGGAGAGTATGGATCCTTTTTTTAAACCTTTCCAAAAAATGCAAGAAGCGGACTAGGGATTCCTTGCCTTGCAATGCTTGCCATTAATGGCATTCCTAAAGAGGACTAGAAACTAAGTTAGGTTGTAAATAGGATAGAGACATCCTAGTTAAGTAATAACTAATACTCAGTTTAGGTCGATTTGGTTTTGGTTTTCACACATGAAAACCGAAGCCGAACCGAACTGTTAATTTACACATTTTTGTAGCCCAAAACCGATTGGTGTTGAAGAAAAATAGGCCAACTCGGGTTGGGTCGAACTGGGTTGGTCGGTTTGGGTCTTGTTATGAACAACCCTACACTTGAGGTATCTAATAAATACGAAAAGATACCTTATGGCCTGATGGGTTCTAAAATTACTTAATACATGTTATTAGAATATCCTACAATAGTGCAATTAGAATAATTGAGGGATAAGTAGACTCCACCTACGGGTCAAGAAAAAAACCAAAAAATTGAATCGATTAAAAAACCGATCGAAATCGAATAAAAAAATTGGTTAATCGAATCGATTGGTTTGATTTCAGTTCGGTATTTTTAAAAAATTAAAGGTATCGATTCGGTTTTAGTTAATAGAAAACCGGTGGTTAACCGAATTGACTGTGGTATACATATATTTCTATATATTTTATATATGTTTATGTATATTATATATACTTTATATATTATAAATGAATAAATATGCATTATATATAAATATATATTTATAATATATGATATATTATTTATTATTTAAAATATAATATTTTATATATTTATAATTTTTTATTATATATTTAGATATATTTTTATAATATTGTAAAAATAAAAAAACCGATGAACTGAATCAACGATTAACCAACTAATTTCGGTTCGATTTCGATTACCGATTTTCCAAAAACTGATAGTACTGATTCAGTTATAAAGAAAAAAAAACCCACGGTTCAGTAACTGAACCGTACCCCTAACTCCACCTCAGAAATATGAAATTACAGCTCCCTCCTATTTTACCGGTAGCCCTCCTATAAAGTACATCTTGTTCGTAAATTTGACATCGATTCACGGTCAAGATTCATCCCACGGTAGAGCTAAAATTTTTACGGGTGAACTGAATAGTGAAATTGACGGTATAGGCTAAAAGGACAAAATGCCCCTAAACGGCGTTTATTACAATGTGGTCACCGGTCGCCACTATAGCGCGAAATGGTCATCGGTTCAAACGATTGTGTTATCCCTACAGCAACGAAAGACAGTCAAGGGTTTTGAAAATGAGTTCGACTATAATGCTAGATAGACAAAAAATTTATCACCCGGTTGTAATTGCTCAAAGCCTTTCTAGTATGATATCTTTCAAGCATTATAAATTTTCGTTTTGAAAATGGTTCGACTATGGTGATGGAAAGAATGATCAGAATGATCCATCCCGATTTTTGGGCGGAATCGGAATCCGATTCCCATTCAAAGCGGAATGGCAATCCCCCATTTGGGGGAATGGCCATTCCCGATCCATCCCCCAGGAATCGGATTCCCATTCCAGCCGGTTAAAACAATAAAAAGAAAAATGACCAAAAAACCCCCCTCAAACCCCCGATTGAAGTTTCCAACCCTCATTCTCCTCTCTCTCGTCACTTCCTCCTTCAAAATCCACCGCCCATGTTCAGCTTCCTTGCCTCCTCTTCCTCCTTTTTCCTTTTTTTTTTCACTAACTAAAATATGGTTTTATGTTTTGCAAATCTGCTCCTACTCTATTTGGGATCGATCTACTTCTTCACTGCTACCTTTAACTAGTTTTTCACACCAGTCAATCTAGGCAATCGGTGAGTATAGCTCATAATTGATAATCTATTGATTAATTTGTTGTTTTGATTAAATCGATATGTGATAGTTGTGAGCAGAGTTTTTCAACTCTGTGATAGTTGAAAGTTTGTGATGGTCTTGGCTTGAGGAAGGAGAGTGAGCTGTGAGCATTGAAAGCTCTTCAACAACCCACCGGCAGAACAGATAAATATGATTTGAATTCTAGGGTACTACCATCCATCAATTAAAATTTAAAAACAGCAATCAATATTAATAACGGTAATAAATAGAGCAGAAAAACAGAATGCTTTCATCCCTTTCTGTGGGTTTTTCCATTTCTGGATGGGAATACCGAATGCATAAAAAAGCCTAGAAATGAATTTCCTTCTTGACTTCTGCTAAATAACTCATCTACCCTTTTTTGATTCAACCGTTGACAGATCTAACCCTAATAATGTTTGTACTTTGTACTGCCATCTAAATTAAGTTATTGTTTTTTTATTGAAATTAATTAAGTGCACAAAACCTCAATCAACCCATTTCATAGAGGTGATAAATTAGAAAATGGTTGGTCATAGTCGTGACTTGTGTGAACACAAGGTTACCAGGTTATCAAGTTAGGGAATGAGAGAATTTGAATGCAACTTTTCTTCCTTTTTTTATGGAATTTGATTCAATTACGGGCCCCCATTTTTTTGGGTAAATAATCATAGGCTCCTTTGAGACTTGAGAGAGATATTTAGGTTGAAGATTGGAATCCACTTAGGTGGTGTTTGTTCCATTGCCGTTTACAAAGGTCTAGTGTCCTCTCAGAACCAAGGTTTTTAAAACCGAATTAGACAATGAACCGGTTAGGGGTCCGGTTCCTGGGTCAAAGGTCTAGTGTTTTCTCAAAACCAAGGCTAAAGACTAGAGCAATATTTCTGTATCTCTATCATTCTGGTCCCATTTTGTGGAGATTTGGTATAGCCAAGGTCATGTCCTTAGTTTGGAGGATTTAGGCTATCCTTTGGTACTGGTTAAGTGGGTTGGTGACTGAAGGGGATTTCAGTGTGGTAGTCAATTGGCCAAGGGAGGCTTCAAAGACCTATGCCTCTTCCAGATTGAACAACTTGATTAACTTGCTACCTATTGGTTCATCCATTGTCCAACAAAGCTGGCCAAATCAGGTTTTGGTAAAAAGGAATTATAATGGCAGGTACACATTTTGGATAGTGGGTTTGTATCATATTTCAATTACTGGAATAGAGATCTAACAGGAAAGCTGTCCAGTTCCTGATTTTCTAGGTTAAGGATTCGGTTTAACAATAATGACCATGAAAACTGTTCCAAACTGGGAACTAGGACCTTGTGAAGTTTTCTGGTTCGAGCATCTGGTCCAGTATATTTTTTTAAACAGAATGGAGGTGAAGGAAGATACCTGTAGCTGACTCCATATAGTTGGGATAAGGCTTAGAGATGATGGTCTTTGTAATTATCTTTTGGTTCTATCTTTTTCTGCACATTGTTTTTTGATTCTTTCAGTTTTGGATTTTGTTTGGTTTTGTCAAAATAAGTGCTGATAGATGGCTGACGCTACCTTTTAATCAAATTTATGGTTTTGTTAACGTTGTTTTTATAGCAATTTCTTTTTCCTTATAATTTTTCTTAAGGGAAATGTTATATTGTATAGCAAAAAGATGTCTACTCAAGAGGATGTACAAACATGCAAATTTGCTAAATATTACTTGGGCAAAGAGTTGCCAGTTTGCCACTATGCAAAAGCTTTATTTGGCCACACTACCTGCAATCAAGAAGCCAAGTTCAGTTCACTAGAGTGAAGATCCACCTAGTTTGAATCTTCATGCCTTGTAGAATTTCTTGATCCCATTCAATAGCTAGGCCATCTGCAAAAACTAGATTATGAGCTCTATAACAAGTTTATTTTTCTATTTTTTTGTGGGTACTTGGCAATACAGGATCCCATAAGAAGGATTGTCACTTCACTTTAGCTGTGCCTTTATCTCCCATGGCTCCACTGTGAGCTCAATACAACCATTTTTTACTAGCTTTTAACAATCGATGTTTTGCTTTAGTTTGACAACAGCATTTAAACAACTCTTATAGATACCCTCCTCTTTTATATACAGCTGCTTGTTTTTGGTGCTAGGCAAGTTATACCATCCACCCTAAGGATTGTTCAGTCTTACCTCAAATATTCTCTTCTTGTGGGGTTATCATCTAGTTATGGACGAGTGATAGTGGTAATGGATAAAGATTTCTGCACAGACAGTGCTGGAAACAAGTTTACGAGAAGTTCAAATTCGAGTTCTGTTGTACACGGTGGTGAGTCTCATTTTTTGTTTTCCATATAAGACTATATCAATTTCTTATGGAAATACGAAATTGACTAAAAGTTCATTTTATTACAAATAATGAAGTAAAAAGCTTTGTTGTATGAAATGTTAAGATGCTTTTATCTCCCTCTAGGATCATTATCGAATGCTGATCCTGGTTATCCGGGTCTCAGGAGGGGTGGAGTGGATACGAACCTACCTCCAGCATTTTCTTGCACAAAGTGGTTTTTCTCAGACTTGCACAATGGGGTGGAGTGGATACCGAATGCTAATCCAAGCTAACACATTTTTCCACTCACATTATTCTTTTGGTATATTGCTTCTCTAGATAGAAGAAATGTATTTGTGAACTTGAACTCGTATCCCAGATAGAACTATAGAAGATGTATTTTTCTTTTCATTTTTATGGAGAATTATATTTTTTTGTGATTTTTGTTTGTTTATGTGTTTTTCTTTTTTCTATTTCATATGTTCTCCATATATGCACTTGGTAGCAGTGCCATCATTGTGTGTATATGTTGAAAATATATAATTAGTGGATGTTTTGAGATTTTTTTAATAGGGGCAGAATTGGAAACTTTAATTGGTTCCGATTCCAGCTTCTAGTTGAACCAAACAGCAGAAATCGGAATCCGGTTCCGATTTCTGGCTGAACCAAACAGATGCCAGGAATAGGTGATTCCGATTCCAGTCCTGTCTGCGAACCAAATGCACCCTTAGGTTTTTTTTGCCCAAACATAACCCATAGTTTAAAAACTCAGGTTGATGGGTAGGATCAAACTTGGGTAGGGCCCGCCCAAGTTGTAGCCCTTCTTAACAACATTAGAGGACTTCTCCATTGCTTAGTCCCAACTACTAATTCAATTTTAAAATCCAAATATCAAAAGGCAATGATTTCTGTTTTAGACCTGCCCTATGAACAATGTCATAGCAAAAGTGAACTCTTTTAATGATCTCCTGGAAAAGCTAGCCAGCTGGCCATTGCAATGCAACAAAGTTGTCATATTGCTTAGTAGCTCTGGGCTGTGGTCTTGTGGAACATTGATTTCATAACCTCTTTATTTGATAACGATACTGTAACAACTATTGGAGGGACCAAGACTACATCCTCTATATTCTGCAAGAAACTCATAAATTGGTTTGAAAGTAAGCATGATACAAAGGGATGTACTACAGTGGCCCCACCAAGGAGTCATTTCATCTGATTCAAGGTGAGGTCATAGCAATAAATCATAAGCTTTGATCTACTTGTTTCAGCACAGGACTAGGACACTGTCATTGCAAATGTGTGGGTTGCATTGAAAATGTCCACTTCCCACCCGTTCATTATAGAGATTTTGTGTTGGACCGTTGGTGCTATTCCGGTGTGTGCTGAATTGGCAAATAGAACTCCCCATATGTAGCCGGCATGTAAGTTGTGTAAGGAAGCAACTTAGAGGCTGTTTGGTATCGTTGCTGTATCCTGGAGCAACGGTGTCACATTGGAAAAAATGGTGCTCCAGGAAATGGGCGTTTATTTGGAATTGTTATTCCATAAAAAACGGTGTTCTAAACCACACCTCAGAAATCGGGAAATCATGGCTTAGATTAACGTCAAATTTGACATTTCTTGGAGTTGCAGCTCATTGCTACCAATAAGATAGTGCTGTGGCACTGGATAATGGGTACCAGTGCTGAAAACATTTCCTGGAGCATTGATACCAAACAGAAAAAGTTGTTGTTGCTTCAGGAAACATCCTACCTTGCAACAATGATTCCAAACAAAAATAAAGCTACCAATTTCTGAGAAAATGGTGCTTCCAACCATACATCTGTGCCAAACATATCCTTAAACTGCTGATCATTGATTTTCACTGCCCTAACACAATCCTCATTTGGTTCTCTTTCATGAGTCTTCCGCTGGGAACTGATCAGCCCCATGACTTAAGATTTTAATTGATGGAATAATCCCATTTATCAGTTTAATGATAATAACTATTGCCAAGGCAATTATAGACTTTCTGTTATTATTGAAAATGTGACAATATATAATAGAAAGAGAAGAAAAAGGGGAGGTGAGGAAAAAAGGTAAGGTGTATGAATAAAATGCTTCTTTCTTCCATCCCTCAGTTTTGATGTCTATTAAAGCCCAAATTTCTGATTTCTGACCTTGCTAAGTACTTGATCAGAGATTGAGAACCGCCTACAGCTCTGGGGTGAATTTACAAAGGGGTGCTGCTATTGGATGAACTAAAATTGTTTGAAAATTAATACCGATGATGGGTTTGGGCTCTTGAGAAGGCTTCCCTTGGTACAGTAATTAGGGTTGGGATCATGGTGACTGCTTTGCTGTTTGTAGAGCCATGATGGTAAATTGTTCATCTTTGGAATAAACTGAAGCCATGGCCACTGTTGAAGGTTTGGAGCTGGCAAAGAGCATGTTTATGGACCACATCCAGCTAGAAAGTAATGCCAAGGTGATAGTCCAATCTTTGAACTCAGACATGAATCCACCATGGAAGGTTCATGATGTGGTTTTAGATTGCAAGAACCTTGCTTTCTTCTTCTCCTCTCTTGTGCTTTCGCATACATCTCGCACATGCAATAGAGTCGCCCATGGGCTTGCTCATGAGGGCATAATGTTTCACAGACCTGGTCTTTTACCCCTGATTTTATCAGATATACCATCATGGATGAGATGCAATTCCTTGCTGATTGATGAATAGATTGTGACTGTTTTATTTAGGTTTAAAAGAAAAAAAAAATTAAACATCTACTTATAACAAATCCTGTGCATTGCACGGGAAACTCAGATTTCTTATTAACTTTTTCCACTAGCATCCTACTCATAATGTACTGCAGCTGCACGTATCACAATATAAGATGGTGATGTGTGGTTACAATCAAGGTGAATAGAATGTGGATAGAGAGTAGTGAGCAGAAAATCACTTTCCTTGTACGGGTGAAGCCATGGAAAAATGGAACATGTGGATAGGGGTGGCAATGAGCCGAACTTGAATTCAATTCACAGGTTTGATTAAGAAATGAGCCAAGCTCGAACCTAATAGAGCTTGGCTCGTGAGACTTGGGAATTGGCTCAAATATTATATATACATATATGTATATATAATAAAAATATTATAATTCTTAATTTTTTAAATATCAAATAAAAATATTTATATATTTATTTTATAAAACATTTTTTCTCAAAATCAAACTGGAATCGAACTGAGCTCGAGCTCGAACCTTATAAAACAATCTTGAGCCGAGTTCAAACCTTGTATTATTTGGCTCGGCTCGACTCTAATCCACCCCTACGTGTGGAACAGAAGCGTATGATTAATATATATATTTTTAATTTTTTTCTGAAAGCCCTTAGGCTAATAAATGCATAACTGATTGTGATTGAAAAAGACCTTAAAACGTCTTGACATTTATTGGCAAAACAAAAATTCTTGACATTTCACCAACTAATAAAACAAAAAAGTACAAAAGAAAACGGGGATCATTGTTGCTATCACCACAAAGGCTCGGGTATCTACAATTGATGACATTAATGGTACAATTGAAACAGTGACAAAGTGGGAATTCTAAGGGTAGTAAATCATAGATATTAATAAATAAAATAAAAAACAATACAAAATTTTCTTTTAAGATTTAGTTAGGAAAGAGTAAAAATGCAAATATGTACAGCATAAATACATACAAAATAATGCAAAATATAAGGTTTTACACTCTACATGTTTGCATTGTATTCCAAACTCAGCCTAAATCTCAGTTTGAAAGAAATACAAATACAAATTTGTAGAATATAAAATCTTATATTTTATATTATTTTATATATATTTATACTGTATATATTTGTATTTGTACTCTTTTCAAACAGAGCCTAAAGAGTAATTACCTGAATAATTGAAAGCAATAAGGCATCGTGATGATTCACGATCAACCTGGACAAACGGCCCAGTTCAAGGATGGTGTGGCCAGGACGATACAATAAGAGATCAGGAGAGAGTTGAGAGTTGAACTTGGTACTTGGTAGAGGATTGACCTGATGCGGAAGATTAATTTGTGTCCGTCACCAAAGATTAATCAGTGGTTTTTCCTCTACAACATTTGGATTGGGTTGGGCGCGGAGCCAGCTATTGCCTGTCATAACGCTTGTTGAGTTTGGTTCATTGATCATTGTGAATGTCTTTGAGCCCTTATTTATTTATTAGGGGCTGCAAATTTGATTTCTAAGGAGGATTGCAGTCCAAAAATCCCTATTTATTATTGTGTAAAGATCGATCCTTTGACCCAGATTCAAGTTGTCTGGGAACATACCCAGACTCAAATAGTTTTTTAGTGATTCCTGGCAGGTGGAAGCAGCTTTGTGATGTATTTCTCCATACATGTTAGGTACAGATGTCTCCTTCCACGGTTCAACCATTCCATCTTCCCCAGCCACGACACTAGACTGGAGACTGGAGAGAAGGAAAAAAAAAACGACACTCTTTAGCAAGAATTATTTCCAATTACAGAAACTTTAGCATATCATCTTAATTTCCATTCATGAGGTTAGCAAATTAAATTTACAGTTAAGCTTCTTCCCCAAGTACTTAACAAAATGCTGGCTCCTTTAACGATTTCTTAGATTAATAAATTTGGGTAGAAGAAAAACAAAGTCACAGAGATAAGTATGGGCAAATTGCAATATATATGTTGATCAGCTTAAAAAACCATGAACCAGGCAGCCATGATTAGAATCTCCACACCAATGAATTACAAGCTGGCTGAGCAGACAACATGCAGAACAACTCAGAGAAAGAAAATAAAGTGTTGAGGAAGACAAGACACATCAATAATGGAAGACATAGATATTATACTCAACAATAGCATCTCCCGTCTTAAGGTCTACGGTATGAGTACTGGCCTGAGCATAGCCCCTGGCAAACCGGAAAAGCCCACTTCCTCCGATTACCGGCATCTCTCTCACCTTGGTGAACACGTGGTTCCTCCCCAGAATGGTTATTGTGCTCCCGTTATACTTTCCTTCCATGAAAGCAAAATTCATGGCCATTAACAAGCCCAGATCACTTTGTGACGACGAGGTGTAGAAGCCTTGAGCTCGTCCAACAAGCTTCGAGCTCAGCTCTGGTCCTTCTGTCAAAGGATCATCGATCACCCTCACAATTCCAAACTGAGTAGGCGATGTGTCCGTGCTAGGCGCTGCTGCAACTCTGATAGATGAAGGATTACTGCCGCTAACTATGTCATGCCAGTAGAGGCGGAAGTGGCTTAGCTTCTCCTCCTTGAGTCCAATTGCCGCCGGACTTATGACCCTAGAGAATCCATGAGGTTTTCCTTCGGCATCGGCCTCTAGATTAGACAAGATGAAGAGGAGAACAATGAATGAGAGTGCCGACTTCATCAGCAGACTTTCAGCCATGGCTACCAAAAGGGTCTCAGACTCTAGAGTACCGGGGCCAAGCAACAATACTGGAGTGGATGGAGTTCTCCCCCTCTCTCTCTCTCTCTAATGGTGGTTGTATCAGATCGCACGGATCACAAAGACTTTTGATAAGAGGGTTGGTCAGTAAAAACCATTAAGGCGTGGCGGTTCTAGAAAAATGCTAATGCTTCTCTGAGGAGCGATTATAGGCTTATAGTTTAAAGCATGGTTTTCAAAATCGGACCGTAAAACGGGGAACCGGTCGACCGGTTCCGTTTTCTCCAAACCCGTTTTTTCTCCAAAACCATTGATTTTGGTCAGTAAATCGTTGAATCGGCCAATTAATCATTTGAACCGTTTGAACCGTCTGAACCGTTCAAATAGTTTTGACCCTTTTTCAAAATTTTTATTTTTATTTTTATTTTTATTTTTATTTTTGTCAGAACAGGCCAACCATTTGGGTTGAATGATCAGACTGTTTGAACCGATAACTAGACCTTTGACCGGTTCGGTTTTAACAACCATGGCTTAAAGTTTTCTTCAAGTTGATTCTGGGGCTACGGATTGGCGAAATGGTACAGGGCCCATACTTTCCACTTGTCCAATATTCTGAAGAAAGACCCACCATGGCTGGAAGGCTCCTACCATGAAAAATTTGGAAGTATACATTTGGTTAAGCGTGTCTATGGGTGAAAACCTGCTCACCTAACAGCTTAATCTTTTCTTTTCTTTTCAATAAACAAGAGAAAATTCAACAACAGTTTACTGTTTGATTCTTGTGGCTCATTATAATTAATAATTAAATTTCGACACAATGTATGGGAGGAGGGAGAAGCCGTGAAGGAGTATTAGAGAACAAAAGCCTATTCCGGACCTCACATCTCGGATAACAGCTTAAACTTTTAAATTCAACAGTTTCACGTTAGGTGAGACCCAAAGGGGTTTTTGATTGGAGGAATGGATTTATCAAAATCATTTCCTCTATAATGAGTGAATTTGATGTCCTCCCTTGATAATGGTTTTCGGATCTGAGATTAATGGGCAAAAAAATCAGTTTATAATATTATTACAAGCATTCAAGAATTAGGATCTAATTTCATGGAAATGAACTGATCAAGAGGGCCAAAAATCAGCTTCATTCAAAACTACTTAAGAAGTTAGGGCTGAGATTCATAAGATGCCTCCTACATATGAATCATCGAATTATCAACTCAAAATAATTTCTAAAAAGTACATCAAATTGCGTATGTATTTCAGCATGAAATTTTTGAAAAATAGAAAATAATTTAGTCATTTCTTTCATTAAATAAATTCATGTCATCCTTGAACAATCATCAATAAAAATAAAAAAAAATACTTATAACCATTATATGATTCTATTTTAATTGGACCCCAAACATCTGAATGGATTAAAGCAAAAGGACTCAATATACGACTATCAATTCTAGGACTGAAGGAAACCCGATGATGTTTCCCATATTGACACGATTCACACTGTAAAAAAGACAAATGACTCAAAGAAAGAACCAATAGCTTGAGTGTCTTGAGAGATGAGTGTCCTGACCGACAATGCCATTGTAGAGGAGTTAAGGAAGTCTAAAGAGCAACTTACAATCCACCACCGTCAAGATAATACAATCCACCGGCCTCATGCCCTCCACTAATCTTCTTCCCCATCTTAAGATCCTGAAAAACACAACATGAAGGAAAAAAATGTAATAGAGCAATTAAGGGTCTTAGTTAATTTACTAACATGAGATTGAATGGAAATTTATGCACATATAGAACAGATGATAAAGAAAGAGATGCAATGTCAACATTACCAACACATTAGATGGGGGAAGAGGAGCCATTGGTCAGGGTAACAATTTGAGATGTGAAAGTTTCAGCGAGGAAAGAAAACACACATGGAGTCTTGGTCATGTGATCAGAGGCTCCAAAATCAATAATCCAGGGAGAGGGTTTGGATGCCATACAGGATATACCTAAGTGTGTACGAGTGGCAATAGTATATTGTGAAGTAGCTTGAAAGAACTTCTCATACTCATCTCGTGGTACAATCATTATCAATCCTTCCCGGAAGCAGATGTAGATGTAGAAGGTGTTTGATTTGTTTGTTGGTTATCACTCATATCAACCCCACTAGCAATTGCATGATTAGCCCATGTAGATGGTGGGCTATGTAGATTATAACAAAAATTAACTGAATGTCTTTTCTTGCCACAGTGTGTACACTTCCTAACAGTATTATCTCTTCCTTTACCATGACCTCCCCTTGAGTCATGACTAGACTTGTTAATGGGCCGGGTAGCCCAATGGGACGGGCCGGCCCGGACCCTAGACAGGCTTGAGCATGTATTTTAGCCCGTGGGCTTGACCTCGGGTCTAAAAGCCCGAGCCTAACTATTTTACGAGCTGGGCATGGGATTTGTTAAAAAAGCCTAGCCCGAGCCCGGCCTGGCCTGACTTTTCCTAAACTACCTAACCCTAACCCTAAATACTTAAAAGTTTTCTTTTCATTCTCCTTTCTCACTCTCACTCTCAGAACCGGCAAACCCAGCTGCACCTGTGAACTCAGTCATCGACGGCCGACGCCACCAGAAGTAGTCATCTCTCTCTTCGGCAGTGATCTCTCTCTCTTCCTCTCTCCAGCCAGCACCATTTTCATCTTCTTTCTTCTCATTCTCAGTTCTCTCTCTTCTTAGAACTAGGTCTTCTATCTTCTCAGTTCTCTCTCCAGTTGGCGCCACCAGAACCTAGGCGCACCGTTTTCATTCTGCGAACTTAGGCACCGGCGGCTGGCGCCACCAAATCTAGATCGTCTCTCTTTCTCTCTCAAGCGGTAAGTTCTCTTTCTCTCTCTCTTTGGCCGGCACTGTTGTCATCTTCTATCTTCTCACTTTCTCAGTTTCTATTCTCACTCTCAGACTCTCAGGAATCGACGAACTTAGCCGGCACCATTCTCTCAATCCTTAAAGGGCACCGATGCTCAGACTCCTAGGTCGGGCTTCAGGCTTTTTATGAGGGCCGGGCTCGGTCCCAAGTTTTAGGCCTGTTGGTCGGGCTGGGCTCGGGCTCGGGCTTGAAAATTTTATGTTAATAAAGAGCAAAAGCTCAGCCCGAGCCCGACCCGGCCCGGCCCATGAATAGGTCTAGTCACGACCACCACCACAGCCAAACATGGAACCACCATGACCTCCTCAAGATGCATCTCCCCCTCTATTACCACATCCACCTCCTCTTGCTATAACAAATACTGATATGTCAGACGTTGTGGTACTCTCTATGGGTCCCAAAGGAATCCTACGAAACCGTGTAAATATTTCCTTAAGTGTAAGAAGAGCAAAACCACCCAATATTTGTGCTCTAATTGGTTCATACTTTGATTTTAGCCCCACTAAGAACCTAGTTACATCCAGTTGCTCCTCCTATTGTTGTTGAACTTTAAAATATGGAGTTAGGGGATGATAAACATTGAGTTCATTTTTGAGGTTTCTCATACGGGCATAATACTCTTCTAGGGTTTGATTCCCTTGCTATAGATTGAAATACTCTTGATAGAGCTGATATATTCTCGTAGTATTGCTGTGTCAAGAATAAAGTTTCTTGGCATCTTCCCATATGTCTTTGGTTGTATCTAAGAATATAAAGTTGACACTTATCTTGGGTTCCATACTGTTCCACAACCATGTCATAATTTGGGCATCTTCTTATTCCCATTCATCAAACCTAGAGATTCCGTTGATGGTTTATCTTCCTACACATGTTTCACCTTTCTCTTTGCCTTGGGAAAAACTTCCACTAACTTGGCCCATGGCACATAATTTTCACCATTAAGTTTAATTCAAGTCATCTGCACACCTAGCTAATCTGAGGGGATCATCACACTAGATTTCTGATCACTACCACCATCTCCAGTTGTTGCCATTGTGTCCCTCAACACTATGTCTAATGCTGAATTCTCAACCACCAAACAAATATTGCTGTCAAGGCAACGCTACAACAGTCTCCAAATCACTTATAACAGTCTCACAACTAGTCACAACCAACAAACTTGATGTAAACTAACATTCAGATCAAGAACTTGATGTAAACCACCATTCAGGCAGATTCAACTACCATTAAGATCAAAACCATTGATGTAAACTACCATTCAAATATATTCAGCCACTCCTTTCAGCAAAATTTTTTTTGGTTCTTTTCACACTACTACTGACAATTAATCACCATGACAACAATTCAAACAACCACACAAACCCTCTTGAAATTGTTCAATAGAGGGTAAACACTACAAACACCACCACACAACTAGGACTGTCACTTATGGTGACAACAGATATTAGACTAATATCCTAGGGCTGTCGCACCTTCCTAACACCTGTAATAGGGATTGCGATAGTCCTAAAAAATAATAAAATAGTGCCGCAGCCACCAAGTTGTGTACCTTAGATTTTGCAGCCCAGAGAAGGAGAAAAGAGAAGAAGGAGAGATCACAGGTCAGAAAACTTGAAGCCGCAGCCTTCTTCACCTTTGTTTAGCGCTCTGATACCATGTTTTAGCAGTTCGAACCAGTCTTGTTCTGAGAAAAAGAAGGAGAGAGAGAAGAAGAAGAAGAGGAAGAATCTGTCGAAGTAGAGAGTCTAAACCCTACTAGTCGACCATAATCTGTATTATATTGTAATTAGTGTACAAGGACAAAACTGCCCCTACTTAAGTATGGGACAAGAGAACTACAGAAGTAATACTAGAATTGCCACATCAGCATATAACTTAAAACATAATGAAAAGACTAATCTACCCTTACTCGACCAACTCTAACATGTTTGAACTTTTATACAAAATGGCTTGACTAGCAAATGCCTTCCTAGGTTAACATATGGGGAGGGTGGGGATTCAAAATGTGCAAGCTCAAGCAACAACTTGATTCATGCATATGTTCAGTTGATACATATCAACATGTGTACAACGAAGGTTCCTTTACAAACCAATGATGTAATAAACTGACCCACAAAACCAATGATGAGGGATATGATGCACCCAAACGATCAAATTGATTACTGGGTCTTAACTAGTCGAGCTGATGATCAAATTGAATTTTGCCTCTGGTTTGTCACAGCTCCATGATGAATCTTTCAGATTATTTTAGCAGTAGGTGGGTC